TAGCTGCCTTTTCCTATTCCTGCGTTTAAATTTCAAGCACTAGCTCCTCCTCTTTCTGAAGTTGTCTTGACCTTTTCACCCAGCTGCCGCCTCTGAATGCCGCCTCGGCGCCACCTCTCCTGCCTCATCCCTCGGAGTTAGGCCCAGCTGACCGGGTGGGCTGTTCTGAGCAGGGCGAGTGGGGCTCTCGGCCAGAGGTGTGGGGACCAGCAGTGTTTGAGAGAGGACCGGGGTCCTACCTACCCAGACCGCTGGGTGGCGCTCTTAACCCAATATCCACTCAACGGGCGCCGGAGACGCCCTAAGCCAGGGGAAAGAGGGAGCCCAGCAGGGCCAGGGAGGTCAAAGCGGCACCCTGGGACTTTGGGCAGTGGCGAGAGGTCAGCGCCACTTAGCTGGCCTGACCGCTGCCCACCAAATCCTTATCTTTACTGTAAAATCAGTTTCAAAATTGTGACAACTAATTCAATGAGTAGGAAGAAACCTGCACTGGATGGGTCGGCTTGGGGCCCCCGAGCAAGGCCCAGAGCGAGCCTGTGCCTGGGAGACCAAGGCCCAGAGCTAACTAACCTGTGAGGGGCAGGCCTGGCCGGCCCTCCTCTGCCCACCCCGGCTGGAGGCCAGTCTCCTCCGCTCCCTGCTCATGGGGGCCCCGTGTCCACAGGCTTGGCGCTCAGGCCCGCCTCCAGCGCCCTTAGCCCTCCGTCCACTACCCCAAAGGAGAGCTCGAGGCAAGCGTCTTTCAGAGCTCAATTAATAGGACTTTTTTCAAAAGATTTTTAAATTTATTCATACGGAGCTGGGGTACAGGCCAGAGGCACAGGGAAGGTGACAGGCTTCACCAGAGACAGAGCGGGGAGCAGAACAGGCAGATGGACGAAGTCCACTGCCGAGGGGAGCAGCGGGCAGGTCAGGAGAGGTCTGCTGCTCCCTGGGGGTCACCTCCGGGGCAGGGATCAGCGGCCGGCTTGCAGTGCCATGTCCTAACCCTTCGCGCCACCAGGGAGGCCCGGGAACTTTTTTCTTGACAGAGTTGATCTTTGTCCTTGACAGAAGGGCCAGGGCGAGGGGAAGAGCAGGTGAGGGCGAGGGAGTGTGCGCCCGCCAGCCACCGCTGCCCACCGGGTCCAGGGCCTCGTTCCTGCCCCGCTTCGAGCCAGCCGCGTGGGTGCAGTAGTGTCCTGAGTACAGAGTACAGTGCAGAGCGGGAAGCGGACAGGCGGACCCACTGAGGCACACTGCTGAGGGGCAGCGGGGGCCCCTTTGCTGCTCTTCCTGCGCCAGCGGGCCGAGGGAGCGGGGGAGCGGGGTGACCGCCGACCTCGGGGCTCCCCCACAGGTACCTGGAAAGCCTGCTCCGCCAGGCCAGCAGCGGCGCCAGCGTCTTGTCCCCGGCCATGCAGGCCTTCGTCAGCCTCCCCAGGGAGGGGGAGCAGAGCTTCAGCGCAGAGGAGTTTTCTGACGTCTCTGGTGAGCCGAGCCAGCCCCCCAGTGCACCCTCTCACCCCGCAGGCCCGGCACCCTGCTGCGGCCTCCTCAGCGTCTCCCCAGACGCCACCTCGGGGCACCAGAAGGAGCCCTGGGGTGAGACCCAAGGAGCCGCCGGGGTTGGGACGCGGAGGGGGCCTGGGAGCCGGGCCTGGGGCGCGGGGCTGAGAGGACACGTCTCCGGGGCGGTCAGCGCTCTCGCTTCCGTTTCCGCAGAGGACAGAAGAGCAGGGCGCAGACGCGGGGAGCCAGGCAGGCAGGCAGGGCCTCCTCGGCTGGGATGGCGGTGGCCTGGGCCTCAGGGTGCCGCGGGGCCTGGGCTGGGGCGCTGATGACCAGGGCAGGCACCTTCTCTGACATGTGGAGTGGGCCGTGGGGGTGGGGCTGCGCCCCTTCCCAGGGCAGAGGGTCGCTGCTGTGACTGGGGGGCACCCCCCTCCAGGAGGGCTTGAAACCGCGAGTCCTCTCAGTGGCTTGCTGTACTGGCTGCTGCTTCACGAGCCACCTCACTGCCGCCCCCGCCCCCCACAATCACCGATCCCGCTGGGCCGGGACGCCATGTCTCGGTGACCCTCCCGCTGGCCTTTCCCTTCCTTGGGGTGCCTTGGAGTCAGGAGACAGTTTGTGTGCCAGCTCCGCCTCCGTCTTGCCTCGCCCCGGCCCCGCCGGTAAGCGGACCCCACTCTTTACCTGCTGGAGGTTTCACATGTCCCCTTCTCGTCAGCTGCACCCACAAACTGTAGGCAGCATCTAAAATCAGCTCTAGGTCTCGCTGACAGCTGACAAGCAGCAGGAGGTAAGGCTGGTCCCCCTTCTACCACCCCACCCCAATTTCCTTAGGTTGCCATGGCGATGGGGCAATGCTACTACAAAAATAGATAGCTGGAAGGAGGGGGACGCCCCAGGGCGACTCGCCTGGGGTAGATGAGACCGGGGTGAGGGCTTCGGGGCACAGCCGGGAGGTCAGCGTGTGCCCTTGCGGTCAGCTCCAGAGAAGCCGGGCAGCCCCGCACCTCTGCGCGGCTGCTCGGGCCCGCTCGGGCCCGCTCTCGGCCTCAGCCCACTTCTCGCCGTCGCGGGCACGTCACAGACCACTGGTTTCTTGTGCGGCGAGCTCGGCTGGCCCCACGGCCAGTTCCCGCGCCTCGGGCCTGGGGGAGCAGGCCTGTGAGCTGCGTGTGGGGCCTGGGGTTCCTCTGCGCCCTGCTCTCACGCTGCTTCTCCTGACACCGTCTCCCTCGTGGCCTCCTGGGCCGCCTGCGGCCGCAGGGCCAGCCAGCATCTCGGCCGGACTTCCTCTTGCCTCAGCACGCCGCTGGGGCTTCCGGCTGGCCCCCGCAGGCTCACCTTGACTCCAAAGGGTCCGAGGCGGGCTGGGCAGGAAGAACCGGCCCTGGCGAGACTGGCGAGGAGGAGGGCTTGGAGGGAAAGCAGTGGGGGAGCAGTAGGGACTGTGAAGACAGGAGAAAACCTTGGAGGGCAAACGATGAAAGAAGGGGAGAGAGGAGGGGAAAGTCGGAGCTCGGGTAAGGAAATGGTCGGTCTAGCTGTCAGCACGCAGCTGGGCGGCGGGGCCTGGCCAGGCTCTCCCCGAGCCAGGCCTCACTGGGCTGCAGGACCGCGGGCCAGCACTTAACCCCTGGGGTCTGTTAAACCAGGTGACGTGGCTCGTGCCTTAATGACAGTAGTTCCTTATGACTTTTACATCATATATGTGTACGGACATAGTATTTTAGATATATTGATTTCACACACACACACACACACACACACACACACACAATACAGGTTTCTAAGGCTTTTAGAATACAGTCTCTTATTTATTTTCTCTCCAGCTCTGAAATAGTCAGGGGAGATATTCATTTCTTAATTTTGCAGAGAAATAAACTGGGGCTCAGACTTAGGGAGAACTTACCCAGCTTGTCCAGCCCAGCAAGGCCTCAGCCCCGGGCCGAGTAAGGGACCTGGGGGAGTCTTGTTCTCAGCTGTGAGCAGCTGTCGTTTGTGGCACATCTGGGTGAGGGTCCAGCGGGGAGACAGACAGTCACCCCACAGGCCAGACCTGTCACCTGGGTGCCAGGTGTCATTCCTTCCCCCGCTGATCAGTCTGCACCACGGTGCAGCTGCCCGGCGAGACCCCGAGTCCCAGCCGCGGCGGGACCCCGAGTCCCAGCCGCGGCGGGACCCCGAGTCCCAGCCGGGGCCCCCACCTCTGTTGCAGAGATGCGGGCCTTGGCTGAGCTCCTGGGCCCCTACGGCATGAAGTTCCTGAGCGAAAACCTGATGTGGCACGTGACCTCCCAGATTGTGGAACTCAAGGTGGGGTGGCAGCTGGGGGGTGGGGTGGGGGGAGGGCGCCCCAACCCGGGGAGGGCCAGCGGCGGGAGCCTCACCGGCCTCTCCTCTGTCCCGCTCCCCGGCTCTGTCCCAACTGCAGAAGCTGGTGGTGGAAAACATGGACGTGCTCGTTCAGATCCGATCCAACTTCAGCAAGCCGGACCTGATGGCTTCTCTGCTGCCCCAGCTGACGGGTGAGCAGCTTTCGGGGGCCCAGGGAACTGTGGGAGAAGGACTGCAGAGGACGTTTGGGGTGACTGGGGCCGGCCTGAAGAGCCGAGCCACCCGTGCTGAGGTCTCACTTCTCACACCTTCCTCCCTCAGGGGCCGACAGTGTGCTGAAGCGCATGACCATCATTGGGGTCATCCTCAGCTTTAGGGCAATGGCCCAGGAGGGCCTTCGGGAGGTGAGTTGGGGGTGGGCGCCGCCTCGGAAACACGGTGTCCCGAGGACTGGCTTATCTTCTCCCCTCCAGGTTTTCTCCTCCCATTGCCCGTTTCTCATGGGTCCCATTGAGTGCCTGAAGGAGATTGTCACTCCCGACACAGACATCAAGGTGCGCTGGAGTCGGAGGCCCCGTGGGGGGCTGGGGGGAGGGGCCTGTGCCAGGCAGACACGTGGGGGGCAGAGTGGGGGAGCGGGCGGGCGGCCCTGGGAGGGGCTGCAGGCAGGCCACGCAGACGAGAGGCTGACCTGAGTGGGCAGGCCCTCCCATAGTCAGGAGCTGAGGTGTTTTTTTGTGAAAAGATTCCTTCCTCCCATGCCAGCCTACACTGCTTGCCCTCAGCTTCATTTCTTTTGCTGCTCTTCCCTCCTGTGGGACTTTCTGGTTCCTCTGTGTGCGCGTCAGCTCCCTCAGGCCGCTTCCAAGACAGAGTAAGACAGGCGTGAGCCTTCCTTCCCCGGTCCCTCCCACCTTTACTTCGGTTGTTTTTTGACTCACCTGTAACGAAGGCGTCTGTGTTCAGGGGTCACAGCAGAAGGCCGGACCAGGGCCTTAGGGGCAGGGCCGGTGCCTTATGGCCCACTCCTTTGATGGAGGGAGGCAGTGACCAGAGGAAGGTGGTCAGCGGGAGGATTTAAAGTGAGATGGCCAGAAAAATGTCTCTATCTGCACATCAGGGAAGTAGTGACATTTCCGTCCTCGCTCCCCGAAATCAGATGAGGGTCAGTGGTTGCAGGGGCTGCCGGGGTAAGGTTTCTTCGGGACAGCTGCGCCTTTTGGAGGGGCTTGGATTTTCCAGCGAGGTCCTGGCGGCTGCCGGCTGGGACGCAGTGCGCCTGCCTGTCAGGAGCTTGTCTGACCGCTGGCCTGGACAGTCTGAGCTCTCCGGCTGCCCCTCTGGACAATAAGCAGGCAGGTTGGAGGGGCTGCGACCAGAGGTTGGTCCTGCCTCAGAGGGGCGAAGACATCGGGAGACGTGAAGAGAAGACCCCGTTCGAGCCTCCCTTTCTTCCTCTGGGAAACTGCAGGGACCATGCCTCCCTGGCCTGCTTGCCCCAGAGGACCGGCTAGTTGGCAGGGGACTCACATCAAGGGCAGAGCAGAGTGTGGCTGTGGTTTCCTCGTGGTTCAGCACTGCAGGCAACCCTGTGTATACCGTTGTATCTGTGGCTTTTGCATAACATGCTCTTAGTTGTCTACTATGAAACCAATTATTCTTTTTTTCCAAAATGACTTATTTATGCATACAAGAGCTGGGGTACAGGCCTAAGGTGTGGGGGGGCAGAGACAGAGTGGGGAGCAGAACAGGCAGATCCATTGAAATCCACTGCTGAGGGGAGCAGCGGGGAGATTTCCCCTGTGGAGAAGTGAGGCTGAGAAACTGAGTCTGTACTAGGAGTATCTGCATGCCCGCTTAAAGCATCTGGGCCTCTTCCCTGTGGGTTCTGGAGAGGGCTTCCTGCGATACCCAGAAACCTCGGCACAACACCGGAAGTTTAACATTTTGCCCCAGGGTGGCCTGTGGCTCTGCCAAGCTCTTCTCTCCTGGGAATTCCTGCTCCCCCCCACCCCTAGCCCCCCCCCCCATGCTGTTTGCTTCACTGCAGGTGACCCTCAGCATCTTCGAGCTGGCATCTGCCGCCGGAGTGGGCTGTGACATCGACCCAGCCCTGGTGGCGGCCATCGCCAATCTGAAAGCTGGTGAGATTGGGGCGAGGGGACAGCGGGAGGGCTGAGCCCTCCTTTGGGGTGGGAAAATGTCAGTGTCACAGCAGCATTTTTGGGGACCGTGAATTCAGAGAGCCTACGCTGGACACCGGGGAAAGACTCAGTGTCGTCCCTAAGCCCCGGAAGCTGCGGGCCATTTAGCGTTCCAGTCAGGTGGCAGCTGGCCGCCAGCCAGCCGAGGAGCATTAAGTGAGTCTCCTGGGTGCTTGGCCGCGCTCAGAGGACCTTGCAGTCCGGCTGGGGAGTGAGATTCCTGCGCGGGAGCAGCAGAGAACAGTCTACAGCCGTGTGTGGCTCCACGCCACGGGGCGCGGGCGCGTCTCAGCACCAGCCCGGCCCTTGCTGCCCCCCCTCCCCTGCTGCCTCCAGTCACCCCCCACCCCCCAACCCTTGTCTCCGGGCGCCATCACACGCTCCTGCGGTGCCCGAGTGTGCCCGAGTCTGCACTCACAGCCCCGCGGGGCTGCCCTTAGGCCTCTTCAGCATTGCCGGCCACCCTCCGTCTCCTGTCTCAGTTTGGCTGCGACCACGCCCTTGTCTGCCTCTGCCCCCCCAAAGGCAGCTGACGGAGGGTCTGCGGGCTGCGTGTCAGCCCCCCACCAAGCGTCTGCTCAGCCCCCAGGCCTGGGGCTCCTCACCCTCGGGGACTTGCCTGCCCGCCCTGGCACGAGCCCTGGGCTGTGCAGCGTCTCTCAGAGCCCGTCTCTCTGGGAGCCCCGGGGTCGTGACGCCTCGTGGGTCGCCCCGCCGAAGACAGCCCCTGCGCGCTGCTGAGGTCACCGTCCTCTTCACTTTGCCCCCTTCTGCCAGATTCTTCGTCCCTTGAGGAAGAGTATAAGGTGGCCTGTCTGCTCCTGGTCTTTGTCGCTGTTTCCCTCCCACTCCTCGCCACTGACCCTTCTTCCTTCTACAGCATAGAGAGGGATGGTAAGTGAGGAGGAAGTTTCGGGGGGTCTGGGATATTTGGGTTTGTGTCTTAGGGTAGGCACCTGGGGCAGAGGCCTTGATATGGAACATTCAGACGTCTGGGCCCGCCCTGGCGGCACGTTAGGCCTCACACTATGAAGCTGTCCGCAGCCCCTGCAGCACGAGTTCGATCCCCGGCCAGGGAGGGACCCCCCAGGGCACAGCAGACCCCTCCTGTCTCCCCGCTGCTCCCCTCAGCAGTGCGTTTCAGTAGATCCGCCTGTTCTGCTCCCCGCTCTGTCTCTGGGGAATCCTCTCAACCCCGCACCTCTGGCCTGTACCCCAGGTCTTGTGTGCATAAATCAATAAATCTTTAAAACAAATACAGACTTCTGGTGCAGGCATAAAGCTGCTTCCAAAAGCCCTTGAGAATAAACTATCCATAAAATTCAGCTTCAGGAAATGCCCTGGGAACATCCTTCTCCCAGCCCCCAAATACCTCCTAGTCCTTTTCGTGTCAAATCGGGGTGGCCCAGCCTTGAGCAATGAGGAAGTACCAGCTGGGGTCCGTTTGGGGTGACTCACTCTGTCATTTCCTTTTGTCCCCTCACCCCAACATCATGACGACCTAGGTCACAACAACAATATTCACTGCTTGACCAAAGCCATCATCCAGGTGTCTGCTGCCCTCTTCACACTCTACAACAAGAACATCGAAACTCACCTTAAGGAATTTCTGGTGGTGAGTGGGGCTCGGTGACCGGGAACGGATCACAAAGTCAAGCGGGAACGGGCCTGACCTTAGTCCAGAGACGCTATTGCTGAGCGTGCCCCGGGCCCGAACCCCCATCCAGCTCATGCCGTGAAGCCGGGCAGGAGTCTCTTCTCCTACCAGCTGGTGTTGCGGCCTCTGCCTGAGCGCTTGGAGCGAGCACTGGCCTAGATGTCAGCAAATCTCCCTTCTAGTTCTTGATCTAGAGCTAGGAAGCTGTGTGACCTCCGGAGAGCCAAGCTTTGGGGACCTCCATTTTCCCATGCATGAAATTGGGACATTAGAGGGGTGTCACCATCCCCTCCTGAGGTGTGCACCAGTCCTGAAGCTGCTTCAAGCACAGCTTCCCACCCTGGCCCCGGCCCTGCTGAGTCAGAGTGCTCAGGTGAGTGGAGGCCTGCCTTGAGTAAGGTCTCCAGGAGAGCCGAGCCAGAGCAAGAGGGCGGACGCTGCTCTTTCCAACTCTATACTGACGCAAAGTCAGACTGTCCAGAGGATTCCAGAATCACCTGGAGAATGTCTGATTCAGTAGCCGTTTAGAGCTGGGACTGAAAAATCGCAAGCCGAGCAGGTTCTGGGGTGCCACTGAGGCTGCTTGTCCTGGGACCCCACTTTGGGCCACTAGTCTAGGTCTCTAGGGACTGGATTTTACACCCAGGCAGCTGACTCCGGCCAGACACATCCAATTGCTTGAAAAAAGAAACCAAGAAGTTGTTTTTAGCCAAGTTTTGACTCCTGGTGACGATCACCATTGATCTTAGTTTTCCACTGGAAAAAACCCAGAATAAGCCGTCTCGTTCCACTGCTGAAGGGGCCCACGGCTTTCTTCCTCGCTCCTCCGGGGCTGCTGCCCTCACTTGCTACCTGCGCGGCTCCCGTGGGCCTGGCTTACCTGGTTTGGGGCGGGCGGGGGAGGGCGAGGGAGAGTCCTCTGCAGGGGCTGGACCCCAGCCTTCGAGAGGTCACGCCTCCGCAGGGCCCCACCTCAGGCCCAAGGCCTCTTCTGTTTCCCTTCAGGGAGGTACACAGATCACACTGTTCTCTCACCCGTCGCCCCGGGGACCTGGGCAGTACATGCTGGGGACTGGAAGCCGAGCTGGGCTCTGCTTAAACGGAGCATCTCAGATGCAAAGAGGAGTCACCCCAGATCTCTGAGTTGGGGTGAGGGAGAACCCCTGTCCCCCTCTTTGTTTGCTGAATACGGGTAACCTGGGCCCGGAATAAAATGAATCAGGCTTTTCCCGAGGACACTGTTGGGGCCTGGAAGTGAAGGAGAGGACTGAGCTGGGAAAGGACAGGAGAGCGTCCAGGGCCCTGTGCCCGCCCAGCTTCCAGCGGGTCAGCTGCACGCAGCCTGGGCAGGTCTGGGGGCGGAGGTGCCCGCCAGGCCTGCCCTCAGCTGCCTCCTGCTGTCTGCCCAGGGGCGGACAGGCCAAGTGGCCTGTGAGCCCTCAGGGGTTTGCTGCTCCTTGAGGAACGTGCCTCCCCTTCCTAACCACCTCCTTGATCTTTTTTTAACTTCCTGTAGCCTGAGGCTGTCCTACTCTGACCTCCTAAAAATCTGCCTCTTCACAAATTCTCCCCTCACAGGTGGCCTCTGTCAGCCTCCTGCAACTGGGCCAGGAGACAGACAAGCTCAAAACCAGAAACCGGGAATCCGTTTCTCTGCTCATGCGCCTGGTATGTGTCTGGTTTACGCCGGTTTGGGGAGGGCAGGGGAGGGCGGGGGGACTCCTCTCTAGGAGTTCGATCCCGGCCGCCACCACCCAGACGCATCAGCTGAATGTTAGGACGAGAGCGTCACCCTGGCTGGGCGGCTGGCCTGGGCCCACAGTCCGGCTGGCATTCTGGCCTGGTCTGCTGGTCAGAGCAGCGTCCCCAGGGACTTCTCGGGGGACAGGTCCTTCCTCACCCTCGCTGCGGATTCCCTGTCCCTCAGAGTGCTTGGCCTGGGGGTGGGGACCGTGTCTGCTTCATGACCGCCGCGAGTGTGTGTTCGGCTTGCCTGGTCTCGCCCCGTCACGGCATTCCGGCGCTAGGCGGGCAGAGGGTCCCCCGAGCACAGCTGACCGGGGCGCGGAGCCGCAGAGGAGGGGAGGGGTCTTCCCCGCCGAGCTGTGAGGCTGGGGGCGGCAGGTCCGCCCCGGCCGTTCTTGCTCGTCCTGCTACTTGCCACTGGGTTTTTCTGTCCTCTGGCAGAGAGCTCTGGTAACTCTGACTCAGTTAACGCCAAAATATCTCTCCTTGACCCTGTTTACCTCGACAACGCGCTTGCTCTTTTGCTCGGAAAGTCCGCTTTTCCCAGTTGGGACCACACTCAGGCTGGACGGGGGGCTCCCCGCTCTGGCCTGTGGGGAACGGCTGCCCCTGTCTGCAGCCTGCGCCGCCTCAGCGCCTAATCGGAGTTTCCCAGGACTTTAGGGTCCAGACTGAGTTGCTTCTGCAAGTCCCTTCTCGTGAGGCCCACGGTGTGGATGGCGAAGCACCTCCCGGGCCTCGGGAATGTACGGCGGGAGTTAGGAGGAACAAAAAGAAGACTGTGTGCACCCCAAACCCTGAGAGGGGGGGTGGGGAGGGGAGGGCTGCTGGCCGAGGTCCGCTTCTCCCCTTGACCCTGGTCATAGAGCAGAACTCCTGGAGGAGCCTGAGGATGCTGAGTTCGGGGCCTCCCACGAAGCTAGAGAGGTGTCTGGTGAAGGCCGGGAGAGCGAGCGGTGGCTTATTTGCTGTGCGGGCTTAGGTCTGTCCCACAGATACCCGGGGGCCTCTGGGACTCCCGCAGGCCTCCCTGCTGAAACACAGGCACCGCGTGGGAGCGACACCGCAGTGTCTCTCGCTAGAAAACGGCCGGGGCGGGTCTGGCTAAGGGTCACGAGGAGGGGAGAGCAGACGTGAGGCTGTGCGCTGGCCGCAGCACAGTGGGGAGCGGCGTGAGGGCAGGCCCGAGGTGTGCGAGCCGTCGGAGGCCGCAGCCGCTCGGAGACTGACTCTTTTGGAAAAGATTGACTCATTTATGCATGTAAGAGCTGGGGTGCAGGCCAGAGGCGTGGGAGGCGAGAGGATTCACCAGAGACCCAGTGGGGGGCAGAGCAGGTAGATGGACTGAAATACGCTGCCGAGGGGGGCAGCGGGGAGACAGGAGGGGTCTGCCTGCCACGGCCTGTGGTCACTCCCTGGCCGGGGATCGAACTCGGGCCTTTGCGCTGAGAATTAACTCCCAGGCCGCCAGGGAGCTCCCTGAGCTGAGTCTTTCTCCACAAAGGGGCGGTCACCCCTGTGCTGCCTCACGCCAGGATTCATCAGGGAATACATGTGAACGGGCCTGGCCGTAGAAGCTCAGCAAACGCCAGTCCCTCTCCGGCTTGCTTTCGTTTCTGGAGGGTTTGGGCAGGCACTTTCACCCCTGAGGCTGGAGGTGATTCTAAGTTGGGGCCCAGCCCGAGCCTCCCCTCCGGCTCCCCACTCCTCTCCTCGCTGGCTCCTCCCGCTGCCCCAAAACGTGGGGAAATGACTGTCCCGGGGCTGCTTCTGCAGCGTGACAGGAACAGAGCCAGGTGCTTTTGGCTGGAGGGGAGGCAGAGGGGATAACTGCTGAAAAGCAATTTAAATGCAAATGTTTCCGCAGAGAAATTGGAAATGACCGAAGGGGAAGGAGCTGGATTCTGAGTTCTGTGGCTACTCATGTAGCCCCAAATCCTGGCGAGGCACTGTGTCGGCTGCCGGGCCTGGGCAGTGCCCGCCCGAGAGCTGGCAGCCTGGCCTTGGCACGGCTTTCACGGGGAAGAGGCGACCTGACTCTGAAAAAGTCACGGGCCCGATGCCGGAACAGCCAGCCCGGGGCAGTTAGACGGGTGGGTGCTCGCAATCTGTCGGTCAGGAGTGGGGAGAGGGCGGGAGAGGTGCCGGAGGAGCCCGGCCCCCGCCTACGGCTGGAATGGGACGAGCAGCACCCACGATTCGAGCTTTCAGGCCTGTTGAGCTGCGCCAGCGAGCGAGCGAGCGAGCGGCGTCTGGCGAGGAGCCGTTGTTTTCTGTGTCTGCCGGAGCGAAGACGTGGCAGCCTTGAGCCCCGGGCTCCTCTCGAAACCGTCAATCATTTCCTGGTACCCAGGGTAGTAGCCTGGCCAGGAGATTTTATCTCTCCCCTGCCTGAAGGGTTGAGTCTCCCCTCGCCAGAAATTCTTTCTTTCCCCAGCCTAAGAGCTGCGGTTCCGAGGGGACTGCCCCCCAGAGCGTGTGTGACACCCTCAGACATGTTCAGATCTGAAAGGACTTCAGGGAGAGCACCGTGTGTCAGGAGCTCGGTCCGTGCTCTCCCCTGACTGAATGTGTCTGGGGACCCTTTGGCCGGCCGGGGCAGGTCCGGTCCCGGGCCCAGGCTGCCCAGCGGCCTGCTCCGTCTTGCTGCTGGGCTGTGGGGGCCGCCGGGATCCCCACGGCACACAGGCTTCTAATGAAACGAATCACTCGTGCCTGCTCCTCTGTGTGCCGTTACTGCTCCCCAAGCTCCGACTGAGGGAGCTGGGCGCCCGCGAGGAGAGACGGGGAGCTGCGTGGTGTCCTGGCCCCTCTCGGCCTGCAGTGCGCCCGTTTCCTTCCCTGCCCAGCGTTGTCTTGGGCACTCGGAGCGCCGCTACGGCGTCCGTGCCGCCCGGCCACAGGCGGGAGCGGCGTCCCCTCTGGCTTCTGCTCCTGCACGGGACACCCAGGAGGGGCCTGGGCCTGCTGCCCTGCAGCCGGGGCGGCCCCCTTGCTCCCCTGGAGCTCTGCCCAGTGCGGGGAGGGAGGGCGGGGTGACCCCCGCCGGTCCCCGCAGGGGCCGGGCACTGGACGAGGACTCCCCGGCCTTCCCAGCCCGCGGCCTCTTCTCCCCCAGGTGGTAGAGGAGTCACCGTTCCTGAGCCTGGACATGATGGAGTCCTGTTTCCCTTACGTCCTGCTGCGAAACGCCTACCGGGAGGTGTCCCGGGCTTTCCACCCGAGCCGAGTGCCGGCCGGTGCCCACTGAGGCACCTCGGGCCTGCCGGCGCCTGTGCCCTGCCGGACGCCGGGGCCGCTGCCCCGGGGGGACTCTGGGAGAGGGCCTGGAGCGGCGGGTCTGACGGGCCCGCGGGGGCACCGTCCAGGGCTGAGAAGTCCCAGACCAGCGGGGAGCCGGCGGTGGAGGACGGCGGCCGCGCCAGCGGATTCCTGCAACGGAGAAAAGAACGAGTGAGCTCGAAGTCCGTCTCTACGCTCTGGCGGCCAGAGCTGGAGGGGCCGGCGTGGGTCTCTCCGACCTTCGCCAGCGCTCTGGGATGATGCTGGCGGGCAGAGATGATCCGTCATCACATTAAACCGTAATGAGCTTCTAATCCTCCCGCTGGGCGCTGCTGTCTCCTCCGCATTCTCTAGGACGCCTGTCTCCTCTCCTCCTTCCTCGCAGCGCTCCGCGGACGTTCCGCCTGCCCCTCCTGTGCCGTGGTAGCGACCGAACCCCTCGCTCCTTCCGTGGGGGCTCACTGAGGAGTCACTGGGCCTCAGCCTCCAGCTCTGCTCCCCACAGGGGCGATGAGGAAAGCCCGCCCCTGTGCCTGCTCCCCAAAGCCCCCCCAGACCTCTGGGTCAGGAGTAAGCGCCCTCATCTCCTTCACCTTGACCTCACTGCTCTGTCCTTGATATTGCCACAGCCCAGGGACAGGTCAAGTTGAAGTGACATGACAGTTAGTTGGACCCGAGTCATGTTGGTTTCCCTTCCCAACCATTTTGGGGTGCTCTCCCCGCTACCCGGAGGATCCCTTTGTCACCCGGCTGCCCCTGTTGCTCCAGGCAGGAATTTCTCGGCTGGATTTTAAATTGCATAGACCTCATTAGGTTACAAGGCCCTAGAGTGGGTGTACTTGAGGGAGTACAAGCTGTTTCAACGCAGCCCTTGTTGTACTAATTACAATTTCAAGTGTCACGAAGCCTGGGGCGTTCAAGATAGCAGCAGACTGGGTTTGGTTAACTCCGATCCGGCCTCCCATCGGTCACTGCCGCAAGGAGGCCCAGCGACAGCCGACAGCCGCAGCCGAGCGCGGCTCTGGTCTCGGGCGGTTGCAACGGGCTAATGCAGTCAGCTAGCTGATTAATTAGGGCCATGGCCGGGCTTCCACGATAAAAGGGAAGCAAGTTGGAAGGAAGCTGATTTTCAGCAAAACCATTTGGCCTACATTAAAGCTATTTGACAGTCGTCTGTGGATTTTGTGTGTTTCATCTTTATTGCCAGAGACCCAGGCACGGTCCAGACTTTCACTGCGCCCATGACCAATGCGTTAGTTTTTCTTAGCAGCAGCGGCCTACTACTTGGGATGGAAGCCACACGGGTCCTGTATTTATTCCCCTGCTGCTTGCGTCCCTGCTATGGAGAGGACTTTACATTCGAAGGAGAGAGGCAGGGTGCGGTTTACAGAGACCGAGGGCAGCGCTGTTAGGGAAGGGAAGGTTGAGAGGTCCCCAGACAACTGCCGATAGGCCCCGACTCTCTGCTGGGTTCATCCTGAGGAGGCAGGACGTTCGCCTCTGCCTCTAAGACCTTTCAAAAGGAGCCGCCAGGAGGACGGCAGGAGCTGCTGGAGGGGAACAGAGGGTTGCCGTGACCTCTTTTATTGATTCCCGTTGCAATTTTTATTGAGATCGTTAAGCTTCACGCTCTCTAAGAAATAGCAGAGGGGCTCCCTGGTGGCCGGGGGGGGCTTACATGTTCGTGCCGTCACCACCATGGCCCGGGTTTGATCCCCAGCCAGGGACCTTCCCTATCTCCCCGCTGCTCGCCTGAGCAGTATTTTTCAGTGGATCTGCCTGTTCCGCTCCCCACTGTGTGTCTGGCGAGTCCTCTCACCCCTGTACCTCTGGACTACACCCCCGTAATCTGCACACATACACACTATACACTATATGTATATATATTTATGTTCTTGTTTATAAGGACATATATACACACACATACATGCATGCTTACACACGCACCCACACACGTATACAAAGAAATGACAGGACCCCAATCCGCCCTCACGTCTCCCTCAGTGGCGACCTGCGGCCGCACTGTGGCCACTGTCCTCACCACGGGGACGTGGCCATCGCCGTTGGGCTCTGCCCTTCCCCCGTCTTGCTTATGCTTCCCTGCGTGTGGGAGTGTGCGCTGTGCTGCTTTCTCTCAGGTGGGCGCGGGCATTTGCACCACTGTCCAGATGCCAAAGGGCCCCAGCGCCACCCCTTGGGGTCTTCACACCACAGCCGCTTCCCCGCTCCTTCCTGGCAACACCAATCTGTTCTCCTTTCCCAACATTTTGAGGTCCAACATAATGCAGACAAAAAGGTGGGTGAAGGGAGGTGAAGGGGCAGGCGAGCGAGGCACCACACGCCATGGCAGCGTTTTGGGGGGGCAGTTTCCTGGGCCAGCGGGTCTTTGGCCCTGACAGCGGGGCTCACCATCCACTGGGAACTGCTTTCTGCTCCTGGCTCTCGCTTTAGTTAGACCCAGAAGGAAATGAGAAAGGACTATGGAGAAATTCTGACCCTGATTGTTTTGTCTTGCAGGCAGAGAATAGGTTCCAGCCTCAGCATTTTCATTAGTGCAGCGTTTTCATTAAAATCTCCACTAACTTGTTTGCAGCAGTGAGAAGGAGTTACTCCTCCCCCCAGCCTGGAGCGGTGCTTGGGAGCTCCCTTTCCAGTGCACAGTGAAA